GAGCAACGCTTCCTGCCCAGCGGTTACCCGGAGAACAGCAGCTCCAAATCACGTGCACCAACATAGTAGTAAATTACAGTTGCTGAGCAACAGTAATGCTGGTGCAGATGGCTCGCTGCACTTGACATCTTTATCTATGCAGATTAATTTATTATTTACTTGTGTTAAAAACTGGACAGGACAGTTTTGTTCTATTTTTTTCCAAGCTAATGATAAAGCAACTCAAAAATAGACTAGAATACTGCCTGATTAAAACAGTGAGAAATTATTTGTCATATGTTAGTCTGCTTCTTCCTGTTTTTCTGCTTTATGAGTTTTTTTTTTTTATTTTATTTTTTTTTAAGGGCATCAGTATCATTAACACATCCCATTCAAATCAGAAGGCAGCAATGTAGACATGTAGTCTTTCTCTGAAAGAGAAATGAACTAATTCAAGAATATTCCATGGAGAGAAATAAATTGTTATACTTTCATAATCCTTTTGAGGATGTTTACAGTTTTCCAAAATGTCTGTGTGAACGGTGTGAAGTAAAGATACAATGTTAACTTAATTTGGTCACCAAACCAAAAAAAAAAAGTTCTATTTGCATGCAAATTTCAGTCTTAGTATCACTGGGACATCCAGATACTCTTGGAACCAAAACAAGTATTTTGCACTGAAATATCTCAAAATTGAGTCATTTTTAAAAGAGAACCAAGTAAACAAGGCCTGTCAAAAATTAATCTCTAATCACCACAAATCCAGAATACCTCCATCCTCTTTTACAGAATATATATATGTATACACACACACTAAAGCACAGTTAGGAACCCATATCTGAATAACACGTTGCGAAAACTAAAAACAAAAAAAAATTAAAAAGCCTTTCTTCACACAATTTGTGGTCATATCCAAGCCCTTCCTTTTTTCCCTTTTACTTTGCTTATCTTATATAACTGTGAATAGCCCCCTCCAAGGCTAAAATTACATAGTGCTTGCAGGGTCAAAGTTATTTCTCCCGTTATAAGAAAAGCTTAGACTTTGTGACAAGTCACTTGCCATAACAAGAGAGTTTTCAGTTTTGTTTATATCTCATTTCTAGTCCATGTTGCATTCTGGTTCTTACACACTAATACAATTCCATGGCATTCAGGCTGCACAGAATATTTACATTCAATCAATAACTTTCTTTACTGTCATATTACCAACAAAGATTTCGTAAAGTCATTTCCATTTATTCTATTCTAGGCTTAAGAAAAAGCCTGTCTGGATACACCACTGGAATTTGAGTTAGTCCCTTACACATATGAATACTGCTTTAAATTATTATACAACTCTTTGCCCATACAAGCTAATAACAACAGCAACTGGGGAAAATAAATACATTTCTAATTGGTTAAATTCTATTTAGTTACTGAAAATGTATAATTTCTAAGTATTTCCCATCCTTTAGAATATTCAGAGATACAGCATGTTAATAAAAATAAATACAAACACTGAAAATGTTATTAATCATTATGAGCATTTTGAACCAAATGGTGATACTTTTAAATCACATATGCTTCTTATGTGATCATAAACAAAAACCGAAGAAGAAAGAAACAGCCGAATCACGCAGCTAAAGCAATAGATTAAAAAAAAATTACAAAACATAAAAAAGAAACAGGTTTAAAAAAAAAAAAAAAAAAAAACACTTTCCACTCCTCCCTGGAAAACTGGGGGGAAAAAAATTGTACGTCCATTGAATTTACTGACCTCTCACGATATATTGCACTTTGGGAGATTCTACTTTTTTTTTTTTCTCCTCCCTACTCTTTCTCTCCCTCTCTCTGTCTTTCCATTAGCATTAAAAGCAACAGTGATACAAATATACCATTTCAAAAACAGCCAGAACCAATAAAATACTTTTAGTGTTCACTTAACCTCTGTCCACAAAAATGCTGGGGCAAGCAAACCAGTCTTACACCAATACTCACAGCTTCACAGGCCATTTTCTATGAGTATTACACCTGGCTCCAAGATTTATTTTAAATGGTCTCTCAGAAGCATACTGAAGCAGTGGAAGAAATACAAATTGAGGCAGAAAAATTGCATGAAAAACAACCCTTCCTAAAAACTACTTAAAAGACAGGCATTCTCAAAGCACACACATCTATCAACGGGGCTCATGGAGTAGATCTTACATACAACCAAGTCTCCAGTATTAATACTTTCAATACTCTATCTTCAACTTTACATAAGCCCACCTGAAAAAGGTAATGATGTATTAAACCACGGATCAGTCCATCTTGTACATGTCTTCCCATGATAAGATCACATGGACTGAAAATCTACTACAGCCATCAAATCCATGCACCATACATGAGATTATAGCTCTAGCAATTCATGCTTTTCAGTCATACTTTGCCCAAAACAATGGATAAATGATTATAGAACTGGCTAGTCTCTCAGATGCCTTTGCTCATTTTAAAGAGCCTACTGCTATGCAGGTAATCTATAGGGCCACAGCATCTTTTTGCAAAGTGCTAGTTTCTGCTGCTCGTGGCAGTAGTTGTGGCAAAAAGAAATTGAAAAGAAAGCCCAACCACACTTGCTACAAGATATAGATGGAAGGAACACGGATTACAGGACAAGTCACCAAACCTGTTCAGATCAGTTTTCCCACTGCTTCACACAGCTGTTGCTAGGCACTCACATGCCATGGTGATGAGTGGAATATGAATACCTAGTCAGATCAGAGAGATATATGTAACCGAACACACCAGGTACGGTGTGTTTCTCTCTAGACTGCTGCACAGAACCAGGACAGAGACAGCACCTTTTCCCAGGAGAATGCAATATCAGCTAGTGTATCTGCAGGTAAGAACAGGACATCCATGGTGAAGTTTCAGCAAGACAGCGGGAGGCACAAAGTTGAGCAGAAAGAGAGCTCTGAGAGGGAGTCGTGAGACTCGTGAGTAGTGAACTAGCAGCTGAATAATTTAGAAGTGCAATACCTCCATTTACTAAAATGATTTCACCATGAAATAAATGCATATCCTGTGTTTATTTCAATGTACAAAATGAAATGCAAATTTGCTTTTACATATGTATGTAATCAGATAGTTTAAAATACAGCTGTATTATTGTCTTAAAGTCCTACATTTCACACTAATAGAGTACTCTCTTCAGAAATTATAAGTTATTCATGGAATTTCCAAATAGGCAGAGACTTTCTTACATAAACACACTTGTGAAGTCCATTTCATTCAAACATGAGAAAGCAAATGGTCATTTCCTTGAGAATTCTAAGGCTTTAAAAAGAAGCTAATCTTGGATCTCAGAGATTTGAGGAAAACAGTTTAAGGACAAAAAAGTTTGTCCAAAAAATCTTTCAAAATGTGAAGACACATTTTATTATGAAACTCCATCTTTGACTTCAACATGAGAGCATCATATTTTTGTTTGTTATTATTTTTGACTGATAACATAATCTTTGAGCATCTGGGTGCAGATGCCCTGAAATTTTGGCAGTGTTGTTCGTTACTCCTCTTTCTGCTTAATGAATCTGTCAGCGTTTAATGCCCAGCAATCTCCATCCTGAATTTCCTTAACCTCAAAGGAATCCTCTCCTTTGGATGCAATTTGCTACCAATGGTTAAAACAATCTTTCAGATTTAAAATTGTAATTTCAAAAAACAACCAAACAACAGATACTTTAATTTTCAAATGCAAAAAGTCTGCTGTTTGCCAGGAAGCAAAAAACCTAAAATTATCTCCCAAACCACCTAAAATTAGCACTAGTAATCATCTGCACTGGAATAAAATGTAGCTATTAGCAATGTTCTGAAATCACTGCAGAACAAAGCAAACAGGTTGTCCAGAAGGGTTGTGGAGTCTTAGTCCTTTTGGTTACACTCAAAACTTGACACAACACAGTCCTGAACAAGGTAGCCAGGTCTGCTATGCTTGAATTTCTATCAGCTAATAGAAGTTTTGCTACTGAAAACAAGTGACAACAAACAAAACAGATGAGAACAAACAAAATGCACATTGCTAATTACATATTGTATTTTAAGAATTAGAGTGCCAAGATGTATAAGCAGCTGTTCAAGCAATAAGAAGAGATCACATGTTAACATGAAGCCTTCTTCCCATGTTGAGCTAGCAAATATCAAAGATGTATATAATCCATATAAATCCTGCTATGCAAACTTTAGGTAATACAAGTTCATTTTAAATATACTCTCCTAATATTACTTTTTATGGCATTTTTGTGTTCTATAATTATAGCAGTTATGGTGATAACTGTTAGCAACAGTCCACAGAGATCTGTTTCTTAATATCCCACCAGTCTGAAAAAATCTGAGCATCACCAAGTCAAGACCCATGACTCAGGCTTTCAGCTAATGAACATTGGCACGGTTACAAAGCAAATCCACGCCACATCCAATTCCAAACCAAATTTCAGCAACTATGCTATGAACTTTGCTAGAAGACAACACAAAAACTTAAGCATTAACACATATTATTAAATCTTAAATGTATTTCCTAGTCTGTGATGTTTATTCTTCTTTTCTCACACAGGAGGTCAATGAACATAGTTCCATATTTTGTTTAGTTAGCTCTTATAGCAGCATTTTTTACTGATCTATGAACATATTAGCATGTGATGCTTATAGTGGCCAGCTTATACATGTAGTGAGTGATCAAAAAAGATCAAGCAAAATGGACCTCTTTCTTACTCTCTACTCCCATATCTCTTTACTCCCCCTCTCCAAAACCTTTTTCTTCTTCTTTCTACATGAAGGAAGAAGAGAACCCACTTCCTCTAAACACTGTATAAACACAGAACTACTCCCTTTCCTTCTAATTCCACACCCTTTTACATATTTTTTTCACAAAATATGGTTCTTTTTCTCAACTTATTAAGACTTTAAGTGATCATGATGATGCACTGAATCAACTCTGACCTTTCAACATAACAAAGGTATACTTTTTTTGTGCTCTGGTAATGAACATGAATTCAAAAGTTACCCACCTCTGTTATATGAGGATTGGGATTAAATCCACACAGGCTGCAAACTACAGTATGACATTGGGTGCACGTGTTGTAATTGGCCTTTTCTGGAGTGTGCAGCAGCAGTTCAGTGGTTGTGCAAAGAGGACAAAACGTTTTCTTTGGGGCTGGATCAGCAGGCTGGGCTGCAGAGCCTTGCTTCTGCTGCAAAGGTTTCTCAGGCCCTGGTTGCTGGCCTGGTGGTTTTGTAGGTCCCAGTTGCTGTTCTGGGGGCTTTGTAGCCCCTGAAGTCTGAGGAGATGGTTTTGTAGGCCCTGCCTGTGGTGGCACTTGTTTTACAGGCCCCAGTTGCTGCACAGGTGGTTTACCAGGTCCAAGTTGTGATGGTTGTTTTGCAGGTCCTGTTTGTGGAGCAGATGGCTTTTCAGGTCCAGGTTGCTGGGGAGGCTGTTTCATAGGCCCCGTTTGCTGAGATGGTGGTTTTGCAGGACCTGCTTGCCGTGCTGGCTGTTGAGATGGTTGTTTTACAGGTCCAGGTTGTTGTGATGATGCCTTTGTGGGTGGTGGTGTTGGGGACGATGTCCGAGAAATATCTGCTTGCTGTGGCAGTGGTTTCGTTGCACCTGATGAAGGTTTTGTAGCAGTCTGTTGTTGAACAGGCTTTGTTGGTTCCAATTGTTGGGACTGAGATTTCTGTGGTCCTCCTGGTTGGGTTGGCTGTTTTGTTTGTTCTGCCTTCGGATCTGCTGGGTGGCCAGGGCCTGTTTTCTGAATTTGCTTTGGTTCCCCAGTTTGCTGCTGAGGCACTGGCTTGGAAGACTCTATTTGCTGTGGGGTAGGTTTAACAGTTCCCTGTTGCTGAACTACCCGCTTTGGAGACTGCTGTTGAGCTGGATGTTTTGCAAGGCCCTTTTGCTCCTCAAGTTTCCCATGTTCCTTCTGAGCAGCTTTTTGTTTCCTACCAGCTTCTTCCTGGGCCGTATCTGAATCTGATATCAAATCAAAAGGATTGAATTTGTTCACAACTGAAGTGACTGCGCTCAGTGGATTGGCTTCTGAAAGAAAACTGGGCATCATACTTGGCTTCTGGTCTTCTTTAAAATCAGTCCTGGACTTTGATTCCCTTAGACTAATAGAAGAAGGGCTCCGTCCAGGTGCCCGTTGTTCTGTCTTCAGTACATCTACTGTTCTGCTTTTACTTAAACCAGGTTGTCCTGGATCTGGAGGCTTACCTGGTTGCCTGGGATAGTGGCTTATATCAGACTCGGGATGTCTGCAGAAAGAAAATATAACAAAATTAAAATCATGCAGAGCACTTCAAAAATAAGTTTTAAAAAATATATATCTGTGGCCCTGAAAGGGCTTTGGTAATATTGTGAAGTTTCTTGGACGTTCAAGTGCCTGGAAGACCAGTTCTTAGAACATATAATGCATACAAAATATGTATTTAAAATATACATGATTCTAGAAATGCTTAAGAAAATACACAATCAATCAGGCTGATTTATCGTTTAGAAATAATCTAATACAAGAACCATGTTTATTCAGTTAACATTCTTACAAAGACATATAAAGAACTCAGAGCTACCACTTACACAGAATGGTTAAGGTTGGAAGGGACCTCTAAAGATCATCTAATCCAATCCCCCTGCTCAAGCAGGGACACCCAGAGCACGTGGCATAGGGTGGCATCCAGGCGGGTTTGGAAAATCTCCAGAGAAGGAGACTCCACAACCCCCCTGTTCCAGGGCTCTGTCACTCCTCACAGGAAAGAAGTTCTTCCTCACATGGAGGTGGAACTTCCTGTGTTTCAACTTGTACCCATTACCCCTTGTTGTATCACTGGCCACCATTGAGAAGAGTTTGGCCCCATCCTCACTACATTCTCCCCTAAGGTACTTGTACATATTGATCAGATCTTCTCTCACTCTTCTCTAGGCTAAACAGGCCCAGCTTGCTTAGTGTTTCCTCATACGATAGATGCTCCAGTCCCTTAATGATCTTTGTGTCCCTAGGCCCTCTCTAGAAGCTTCCTGTCCCTCTCGTCCTGGGGAGCCCAGAACTGCACCCAATACTCCAGACATGACCTCACCAGAGTTGAGGAGAGGGGCAGGATCCCCTCCCTTGACCTGCTGGCAACGCTGCTCCTGATGCCGGCCAGGATCCCATCGGCCTTCTTGGCCATGAGGGCACATTGCTGACTCATGGTTAACTTCTTGCCAACCAGCTCTCCCAAATCCCTCTCCGCAGAGCTGCTCTCCATTTAAACCCAAATGGCAACTTTTCCTCTCTATCCCTTGGGATGAAAATGTGAAGAAACAGAGAACACTGAAAGAAACTAAACTAACAACAGGGGTGTTTGAAAATTAGCAGATCAAAGCACATCCATCTGAGAAAAACACTGCACTTTATAAAGTGTTTATGTAACTGCTCTGTCTATCTGTACAAATTTTGGGCTTACAATTCAATATGCAACAGGGATGTAAAATTCTAAAATCTTGGCACATGAAGTAGGGGCTGCTGCTTCTATTTTTTGAGGCATTTCCCTTGTATTTTTGAGTACTTCCTTTACCACTCATCCATCTATGAATCAGAAGAATTTTCAAAAAAATGAAACATATGCCAGCTCACAAAATTAGTCTTAAAGGTTTTCTATAAATAGAACTATTATGGAGCCTCTTCTCCAGCATCATCCCAACAATTTACCTCATCTAGCAATAAAAAGAATCTCCTATGTAGAAACTTTTTCTAATTCACTTAATTATAAAAACAAAGCAAAATGATATTTAAGAGAATAGAAGCCTAACAAAGAAGAAACCAAAATCATCTCTTTTGACACAGCAGTGTTCTACTTGTTGCTATACTCAACTGTAGCTTAAGGAAATCAAATTGTAGAAAGTGCCTTTTTTTTTTTTTTTTTTTGCTAAAGTGTGTAGCAAAATATTCTATTCAGTGCTAGCACTGTGCTTTTGCTGAAAGATATGGTGTTTGCCTCCTTGAGAGAACAGGATTGCAACTAAGAAGTTTTCAGCTTTAAATTTGAGATATCCAGTTATCTATAATCTTGTTTTTCCAGACATTCCATTTCTTCTTATGCATTCATGAGCATAAGCAATCATTCATTACATTTAATGCATATTCCAAAAACAGAACTGTGCAATGCTTTTAGTTGAGTTCTATCAGAAGTCTGCAGAACTATATATAGTAGAAACATTAAAACTCTATTTCCCATTCTTAATATTCCCATAGGCTTACTATTATGCCTGATTAATATTTTGAGCTTTCATTACATGCCTGGCAATGGCAATATAAAAGGAATAATCTAAGTGGAGGCCATTTCTGACTCATGTTTTTCACAGCATGTAATATTCTCACAATCTTAAAAATGAGATTTTTGAAAAATTAAAAAATTCCACATGAAATGCTCATCAAAAATGAATTATTTTCAAACTCAGCTTATGTTTCCCCATTCTCCTAAAATTATTGGCCTCAGTACTTGAAAGTTTAGAAAATTAATATGCAGCCCACTGAAGTGAGTAGGAGTGTTTCCATCAACATCACTGAACTTTAAATTGCTTATGTCATTATTCATAAGAACGATAAGTCAGAAAAGCCCAACCATAACCTAGTTCTTAATGTGTTTGCATCTTTGCTAAAAAAAAAAAAGGTCAATAAAATGCAGTTTCATTAGTGACTAGGTAGATCTATCTGCATTTTAGGGGGTTGTTTGCCGCGTGTGTACGTGCGCACGTGCTGTTTAAATATCATGTCAGCTATTACAGTCTGGTACACTTTCAGCATTCCCATCTGAAAGTATTCAAAATATTGGGAGGCTCCTTTCAGCAATGCAAAGAGTGAAGGAATAAATAAATAAGGTATAATTAAAATGAGGTCAGGAAATATTGCACCATGCTCAAATCTTAAAAACATGGAAATATGAAAATGTGTCTGTGGCAGCAGGTGTGGAAATAATGTTGTTAAATGACATCAGAAGGAATAAATAACTGTTGGTCCTTTTTGGCCCAGAGTTCTCTTCCAGGTTTCATTTTATCAAAATAATGTCCTTAAAGTTTCTATCCTGATGAGTTGTCAGGATTTAAATTAGATTAAGCCCCATGAATCTCAGGGAAGAATCAACTGGGGATTAGGCTGGTATAGGCCAGACTTGACTTTATACATTTAAAAAAAAGGAAGAAAGTTTGTAGACAACAGATTGAGCCAATATCTTAAGAAATGTTATCCTGTGGAAAACTTGCTCCATTTAGTTTTAGGTAGTTGGAAATTGAAGTCTTCTTTTCTATAACCATTTTACAACCAACTACAAACTAAGATTTAAGAATGTTAACTTAAGTTCTGCAATAATTTTCTTTCTTTCAAGTATTTTGAAATGGGAAAAAAATGCCATCACTTTAAAGTCATCACTGCAGAATATCAACTTACCAAACAAATCCATTTATTCCTCCCTCACCTAATCATACTGCTGTGTTTCTCCTAATTTTGGCCTTGATTCAAAAGGCTCATCTTTATTCTTTTAAATTAATATTACACCCAAAGCAAAGCTCACTTTAGAGTCAACAGATAATTTAACAATAGTATTGGTCTAGTGCCATAATTATAACATATATTTTAAAAGATATCTTTTTATATCATTCATTAGTATAAATTATTCCAAGGAAGAGCAAAATTCCTACTCAACTGCATGACAATTAAATATTTTTAAAATCAAGATATGCACAACCTTACACATAGCCCTGCTGGGCTGCTTTCATTTTTATGTCTGTATGAAGATCGTGTTAAAAATATGTATTTCCTCTGAAAAACAGCCCACAAATACAAAAGTACAACACTAAGAGCTTTCTCAGCATTTCCTCAAAAAAAAAAAAAAAAAGTATTCTTCATTGTTAAAAACTTAATAAGAAACAAACAAACACCAATGCTCTGCTCAAAATATGCATGACTGTGTTGGAAATGGTTCTGTATTCAGCTGGGCCACCTAATACTTTCAAGTGACACAGAAAATTCCTCAGCAAGTGTACGCTCACACAGTTACAGGGCCATATAATGCTGCTAGGATAATGGAAATCAGCTTACAAATTACCTCTGTATGTCTGAGGTGAACTTTCTAACCACAAGTTTTGAAGATAGCTATTTGAAACAGGTTTCAATGTTTGTTATTGGTGCTAAGCACACCAACCTTTGTCTGGATCCAAATGAAATCCCATAAACTAAACCATAAAAAAAAAAATCCAATTCAAGTAACTTGATTTAGGCAGCTCACTTCAGCCACTCTGGATTGTGCTTATGTTGATGTTTATGTTAAAATGCATCATCAGTATTTATTGCATTATGGAACTTTTAAAGACTTGAATTCTCTGAACCTCTATAAACACCAATAGCTACAGCATGTACTTTTTGCTGGTGATATGTTTTATGAAGCTGTATATGATACTATATACATTATCTACTATTAAAAAGTCAGTAGTAGAAAAAATATTCAATATCAATCAACCATGAAGATTCTCTACACTTAAAGGCTTGGGTTACTTTGTGGGAGGTGGTGGTGAAAGCATTTAGAACAGGAAATAATTACTAGTCCCTCACATGATTGGATAACAGTTGACTATAATGAAAAATCAGAGGGAAATAAATTGGTTAATCAGAAAAGAAAAATCTAAAGGACAATGGAATAGGGATGCTCTATCAATGCAAGGCTACACAAACTGGAATCTGGAATACCAGCATTCCTCTTCTCATCTCCTTTTCAGTCCTTTCACATTTAGATTGGCATAGCCAATCTAAAGAAACAAGCTGGGAACAATGACTGTAGACTAACATTTAAGAGGTTTTCTTTTCTACATTTGACTTCTTTGGCCAAACAAGAGAAGTCTGAAGCTAAGGAATCTAAGTCTCAGCAGCAAGTCCTTTGCCTAATTTAAAGTCTGGAAGACTAACTCGCAAAATAGTCTAATTCCTATTGATATCCACAGGTTTAATAATGATTTACATCTTTGTTAGATAATCTCAGCAGTGGAGAGAGGTCTTGGAGGGGAGTAAACGAAGCCACAGCATGAGACTAGAGGAAAGTAGTAATTTCATAACAGTATGAGGGTCACAAAGATACTGTGATGATGGGAAACAGTACCAACTCCCAAGAGAAACTACTGATAGGTTAATGTACAGGCTTTTAGTTAAAGTTAGCTTTTTAAATTAAAGTTAAAATGTCGTAATTCACAAATAGAGAGTGGCTTTATATGAAATAGGTAGTGAAAGTACTGTATGTTAATAAAATCAAAGAAGTTTCCAAAAGCATAAAATATGTTTGTAAGGCAAGAGGCATTTATAAGCACAGAAGTACGCATACTGTGATCACTTTAGCATAGTTTCAAATCTGCAAGAAAGATTCATATTGTTCAGTACTGCAGAGCTGGCATGAAATAATAAACATTTAAAGCCTTCGTGTGTTCGATAATAAACTGTTACACGAAAAAGATTTGTGAGTTTAGTTTCACATAACTAATCAATATTTTTTTTCCATTGATGTCTATACCAGCTGAACTGGATGGAAAGTTATATTCTTTTAATAAACATGCTAAACATAACAGAAAAGGATTCACTTTTTTTAAAAAAAGGGGGGGGGGACATATGCATCTCACATGTAATTCCAATGACTTTGATAGTTTATGCAAGGAGGAATCTGGTCCCACCCTCTTCGCCTCTCTTCTTCCAGAATTCACTTATATAAGCCCGATATTATATAAAACTCAACCGGCATTTATGTGGGGTGAGGTCAGTGCACAGGAACCGAGTTGCACGGAGCCTTTGAGAGCCTCCCTGCCAGGCAAACAACACACCCAGCCCGGAGGCTGCAGCAACAGCCCCGGCCGCGGAACGGGAACTTCAGCACCTCGGACAGCGGCGCGGACACCACTCAGCGCGACCCAACAACGACCACTGCGGGGCTTTGGGAAGGGGCTTGGAGGGTCAGAGATTTATTATTATTATTTACTTTGCTCAGTGAATATAATAAAGGGCAGAGAAAGAGGAAGACGATTTCATTAGCTCTCCCTCATGATCAGTTAGTAAAGCCATCGATCCCAATGAAAAAAAAATCATGAGGGGGGAGGAAAAAAAAAAAAAAAAAAAAGGAGCCCAAATTCAGATTGAAACAGACCTCTTCAGTCCAAGACTGCTTAATGTAGCCAAATGATAGTATAAAGCTTAAGGTGGAATGATGGCTAGCAAATACAAGGCTTTGAAGGATTCAGCAAGAATCTGTTTCTCCTGCAAGAGATGCTTGCACAAACGATCAGCCCTGGGCAGGCTTCTCTCACTATCACCTGAGCTGTGAGGCACTCCAACCCCGTAAGACACACGTACACATTACAAAAAAAAAAAAAAAAAAAGCTATGTGCATTTTTCCCCTCTCCCTCGACAACAGAACTAGCCATGCTCCAGATTGCTGCGAGAGGAGAAACAGGCAGGCGAGATGCAACCCACTGGAAGGGGAAAACCGTCGTTACTATTAGAAATCGGAGCAGCTCCAGCGTGCAAGCTCCATGTTAGTGCCCGCACTCGTGCAACAGCCCCGTCCCCTCCCTGAGCCAGCAAAATGCAACGCCCGCTTCCCATGCGACGGGCCCGCAGCGTATGGCGAGTCGCCCCCCGCCCCAGCCGCGAGGAGACGGAGAAGGGGGAAGGGAGGAGTGGAAAAAGGGAGATTTTCCGTGCGTGCCTTTGCATGGGAGGCGGCTCCGGGCCGGCGAGGTTCCCCCTGGGCAGCCCCTGCGCCCTTGACATGACGGCGGCGATCTGCCTCCTCTCCTCCTCGCTCAGCTGGCTCAGGTCCGCCTGCGCGGCGGGCCCGCCGCCATCCCCGGCTCCCGCCGCGCCTTCGGGGAAGGCGCCCAGACCTTCGCCTCCTTCCAGGCTCGCTTCGTTGCCCATGGCTGCAAGGGTGGCTCCCCGCTCGCCTCCTCGCCCTCCGAGGCGCGGGGCCGGCTCCCCTCCCCGGAGCGCCTCCGCGGCGGCTCAG